ACTATTTATATTATACTGTTTTTCAGGAAGCAGTCGAATTTAAGATGACGAATGCGGTTTGTACTAGCCTCAATAAATCGTGGGTTGCCATACATGAATGTCGCCTACGGGCTATTAACCGTAATAAAACAACTTTTAATTTTAATGGAACTTTTCTTTATCCTGCGAACCATATATCAGTTGGATATGAAATGTTTAAGAAGGCTAATGGATACAAGCCATGGTTATTTAATAACTCTGTTGATGCATGCCGTTATTTAAAAAAGTCATTCAATCCATTTGTAATTATGGTTGTTAACCTTTTTCTGGAATTTACCAACTTTAACCACACATGTCCCTACATGGTAAGTATTATTATATTATTACCTTGGGATTGAATATTACAATACTTCTTTTATTACAAATATTAGGGTCCACAAATCGTTAAGGGATTTTATCTCAGATCAAATCTTTTACCGCTTGCGATGCCAACAGGTGATTACTTATTGGCATTAACTTGGTCCTTCTATGCGAAGCCACAATTCCTAACAAATGTATACTTTGTCTTTAAAGAGGATTTGTAATAAACGTATTTACCCCTATAATCATTCAACAGGATAATGGGGAATAAAATCCAGAAATACATCTAGTACCGTCTTGTTTGATTTTTATACTTTGATACCGAAGGTATCAATAGAATATTGGTTTTGTGCGATGTCCGTCATGCTGTCTGTCTGTCTGTCCGTCGGCATGAACGCACCTTTTTTCGATACCCTTTGATGTTGAAACTTGAAACTTAAAACAAATACTGTGCTCTCGTCAGACAAACTGTACAAATTGGAGTGCTACGTGCACCTAGGGGCTAGGAAATCGATAAAATCGATATTCGGATCGATAAAGCCACATATCTCCCACAATTTTAAGGCTACATTCACAAAATTTGGTTTGTAGGTTGTGGGCGATGTCCTTCAAAGATCGGCATATGCCATGCCCACCTCCACCGCCCCCAAGCATCTCGCCCTTAAAATTTGAAATGGCTATATCTTCCGCAGTTTTTGAGTTAGAATTCTATGGATATTGTAACCAAACTTGGAAGCTAACTGGTTGGTAACCTCCTCCAAAGATCGGCAAATACATTTCCAGACTACGCCCACACCAGCCGCCCCCAAACGCTTCGGCCCTAGAAATCTAATATTAGGCATATCTTCTACAATTTGTAAGCTAGAGTCACCAAATCTTAAATGTATGTTACTGGCAACTCCCCCAAGAGATCATAAGAAATTGGACGGCCACGCCCACTCCACCTCCCACAAAAGTCACAAAATCTGACAAGTTTATTGCTAGTAACACCCTTCAAAAATCCGGGAAAAACATTTTCGACCACGCCCACCCCTGCCCCTAAAAACGATAGAAGCGTATCTCTTCCGCAATTTAAGAGCTATAAATACCAAACTTAGAAGGCTACTAATTTAAGAGCTACAGTTACCAAACTTAGAAGGCTAATAAGATACATCGTAATTTTAAAGGCAATATTGGACAGTACTTCTCGGCTATACCCACCGCTTTGAAAGTATCCATAATTGTGTTGCAGACAGTACATATATCGGAGCTGTAGCCTGTCGGTTGATCGGTGCGGAGATGTCTTCCTGTATAAACAACATTTTGCTATTATGCGCCATATATGGGAAAAAACCATTACCAATGGGCTAATATTTCCTTTTTTTTCTATAAGTGTGCCAGCAGATTTACTTAACTGCAGAAAAATGACGTAAATCGAACTTTTGTGGATCGTCAATTGCCAGAACAGTATTAATTGATATTTTTTATAATTCTGAGTTCAAAAGTTGGCGCTCATTGCCACGGAATCCTTCGCTGAGCATTATTGTGTGTGTGTTTTTTTTTTTTGATAAACTGCACCCACTTACCCATACATATCCAAATGCATATGAAAACACACAGTATGCTATGGTAGCTGATGCTAAATGCAGATTATTAAAATAAAAATATGCAATTAAGAGCACAAATGTCAATATTTATTTATTTGTTTTTTTTTTTAATATTATAAAATAATTAGCACAAAAAATGAGCCGGTAGTAATTAGTACAATATTAAAAAATGTTTAGACTTGATTGTAATTACGTACACGAGGCGTCCAGTCGACCTACACAGTTTATCATTTTTCCCTGTTAATTTGGTAGATATCTTATTTAGGAAAAATTACTAAGTCCATTTGAATAGAGATGTTGTTCAAAAATAAATAATAGCTAAGTATGTAAATGTAATTATATACATAATTATATAAATATAATTGTATATATGAAAAACTCCATGAAGTAGCTACTGAATCAAAACTAATCGAAACTTCTCAACATGCGCATCACTCTCATTGTTGTCGGAACATTGCAATTATGGATAACTCTAAAAATGAACTATAATGTAAGCATGCCGTTGACCTACAGTGCGGGTTGTATAACTATTTATATTATACTGTTTTGCAGGAAGCACTCGAATTTAAGATGACGAATGCGGTTTGTACTAGCCTCAATAAATCGTGGGTTGCCATACATGAATGTCGCCTACGGGCTATTAACCGACATAAAACAACTCTGAATTTTAATGGAACGGTACTTTATCCTGCGAACCATATATCAGTTCGATTTGAAATGTTTCAGAAGGCTAATGGGTACAAGCCATGGTTGTTTAATATGTCTGCTGATGCATGCCGTTATATAAGAAAGCCTTTCAATCCATTTGTAATTATGGTTGTTAACCTTTTTAGGGAATTTACAAACTTTAACCACACATGTCCCTATGTGGTAAGTATTATTATATTATTACCTTGCGATTGAATATTACAATACTTCTTTTATTACATGTATTAGGGTCCACAAATCGTTAAGGGATTTTATCTCAGATCAAATCTTTTACCGCATGTGATGCCAACAGGTGATTACTTATTGGCATTAACTTGGCTCTTCGATGCGAAGCCACAATTCCTAACAAATATATACTTTGTCTTTAAAGAGGATTTGTAATAAACGTATTTACCCCTATAATCATTCAACAGGATAATGGGGAATAAAATCCAGAAATACATCTAGTACCGTCTTGTTTGATTTTTATACTTTGATACCGAATGCTGTCTGTCTGTCTGTCCGTCGGCATGAACGCACCTTTTTCGATACCCTTTGATGTTGAAACTTAAAACTTAAAACAAATACTGTGCTCTCGTCAGACAAACTGTACAAATTGGAGTGCTACGTGCACCTAGGGGCTAGGAAATCGATAAAATCGATATTCGGAAATCGATAAAGCCACATATCTACCAATGAACTAATATTCCTTTATTTAAGTAAACACTTGTCACAGCAGATTTACTTAACTGCAGAAAAGAGTCGTAGATCGAACTTTTGTTGATTACCAGAGCAGCATTAATTGTTATTTTTCATAATTCTAAGTCCTCTAGATGTTCAAAAAAAATATATAAAGTTTTATTTATATTCCCTTACAAATCCTCTTCAAATACAAAGTAAATAATTGTTATAAATTGTGGTTTTCTATTGAATGACCAAGTCATTGCAATTAGTTGGCGCTCATTGACAAGTTTGCAGACACTGACAAGGTCCTCAGTCCTCCGTAGCTTCGCAGTGGCTTTTGTGGTATCTTTATGCTGCCGTCTGACATTTATTGCAGGTGTCATCATTTACATGCTGGCCGTATTAGGACTTTAGCTTTTGCTTTTATGCCCCATCAATTCTATTAAAAAAATGCAAATAAAGTGCAACAATGTGTGTGGGTCAAAATTTACCACTCCTTGAGAAAATGAAAGTTATATGCGAACGGGTGAATCAAATATATGGCCCCAAGTTAAATGCAAACTTAATTGCTATGGTAGCTGATGCTAAGTGCAGATTATTAAAATAAAAATATGCAATTAAGAGCACAAATGTCAATATTTATTTATTTGGTTTTTTAATATTATAAAATAATTAGCACGAAAAATGAGCCGGTAGTAATTAGATAATATTAAAAAATTGTTAGATTTGACTCTAATTACTTCCAATACACAGTTGATCATTAAAGGGTATAATGGTTTTATGCAAATGTATGTAACAGGCAGAAAGAAGCATCTCCGTCCCCATAAAGTATATATATTATTGATCAGGGTCAACAGCCGAGTCGATATAGCCATGTCCGTCTGTCCGTGCGTCCGACCATCCATCGGTCTGTATGAGCACGTAGATCTCAGAGACTATGAAAGCTAGAGACTTCAAATTTTGAATATGGGTTCTCGTATACCAGGCGCAGATCAAGTTTGCTTTATTTTATGGATAACTGCCTCCGTTTCTCGATTGTCGACACATTTACATTTCCGATAGCAATAAATGCAACAATTTTAAAGGCAGAATCTTATAATTAACACAAAATATGCATATGCATATTATTGATCAACTGCCCAAATGACATCATACTGATGTCATTTCCTTCAGCAGCCGCAAGCATTTTCTGTATGCATAAATACGCGTGCACATGCGTAAGAAAGAGATGGTATGATAATCGACGCGAGCGTCAATATATTTTTGTGTGTAGTCTGCAGAGCCCTGTTACCCGTTACGATTGCGTGTACATATATATGTATGTATGTAAGAATATTCACGTGTTTGTCGGCAGAGCGCGATTGCAGACCTGCTCACATTTTGGTGCAAAACTTTTAAATAGAAATTTTCCAATAAAACTAAAAATATTTAACAACTGGGTTCAGGGTAAATCGTAGTCGAGCTCCCTCGATTACAACACTCGTACTTGTTGTACCAGTTAATTTAGTAAATACCTTATTTAGGGGAAAAAAATACTAAGTACATTTTAACGCTGTTATTGTTAAAAAATATATTAGATATAATTAGATATATATACTTATATATATACCCAAGTACCTACTGAATCAAAGCTAATCGAAACTTCTCAAAATGCGCATCACTCTCATTGTTGTCGGAATATTGATGTTATGGATAACTCTAAAAATGAACTATAATGTAAGTATGCCGTTGACCTACAATGCAGGCTGTATAACTATTTATATTATACTGTTTTGCAGGATGCCGTCGAATTTAAGATGACGAATGCGGTTTGTAATAGCCTCAATAAATCATGGGTTGTCATACATGAATGTCGCCTACGGGCTATTAACCGGCATAAAATAACTTTGAATTTTAATGGAACTTTTCTTCATCCTGCGAACCATATGTCAGTTCGACTTGAAATGTTTCAGAAGGCTAATGGGTACAAGCCATGGTTGTTTAATACATCTGTTGATGTATGCCGTTATGTAAGAAAGCCATTTAATCCATTTGTAATTATGATTGTTAACCTTTTAATGGAATTTACCAACTTTAACCACACATGTCCCTTCGTGGTAAGTATTATTATATTATTACCTTGCGATTGAATATTACAATACTTCTTTTATTACAAATATTAGGGTCCACAAATCGTTAAGGGATTTTATCTCAGATCAAATCTTTTCCCGCTTGCGATGCCAACAGGTGATTACTTATTGGCATTAACTTGGTCCTTCTATGCGAAGCCACAATTCCTAACAAATGTATACTTTGTCTTTAAAGAGGATTTGTAATAAACGTATTTACCCCTATAATCATTCAACAGGATAATGGGGAATAAAATCCAGAAATACATCTAGTACCGTCTTGTTTGATTTTTATACTTTGATACCGAATGCTGTCTGTCTGTCTGTCCGTCTGCATGAACGCAACTTTTTTCGATACCCTTTGATGTTGAAACTTGAAACTTAAAACAAATACTGTGCTCTCGTCAGACAAACTGTAAAAATTGGAGTGCTACGTGCACCTAGGGGCTAGGAAATCGATAAAATCGATATTCGGAAATCGATAAAGCCACATATCTCCCACAATTTTAAGGCTACATTCACAAAATTTGGTTGGTAGGTTGTGGGCGATGTCCTTCAAAGATCGGCATATGCCATGCCCACCTCCACCGCTCCCAAGCCCCTCGCCCATACAAATTTTAAATGGCTAAGGATATTGTAACCAAACTTGGAAGCTAACTGGTTGGTAACCTCCTCCAAAGATCGGCATATACATATACATACATAGACCACGCCCACACCAGCCGCCCCCAGAAGCTTCTTGGCACAGACTGGAAAGTTTCATCAAAATGTATAATGCAAAATTATGACTAACTATGGTTTCTTATTCGCTCGAATTGGATATTAAAAGCTTGTCGTAAAGCTTGTAAAGCACTGAGATTGATGTTTCCAAACTCACCTCTAATAACTCATGGTGGTCATATATCGCTATCGCATATTACGCACGGAGTTACATGTTATGTTACAGATGCCATGTTGCAGTCTGTTGCCTCCATTCCTAGTGACCTGGTATTCTATGCGAACTGGACCCTCCACTTTAAAGCTAATTTGATGAAGCATTAAAAATACACATACACATACACATATATGGGAAAAAACCATTACCAATGAACTAATATTCCTTTATTTAAGTAAACACTTGTCACAGCAGATTTACTTAACTGCAGAAAAGAGTCGTAGATCGAACTTTTGTTGATTACCAGAGCAGCATTAATTGTTATTTTTCATAATTCTAAGTCCTTTAGATGTTCAAAAAAAGTATATAAAGTTTTATTTATATTTCATTAAAAATCCTCTTCAAATACAAAGTAAATAATTGTTATAAATTGTGGTTTTCTATCGAATGACCAAGTCATTGCAATTAGTTGGCGCTCATTGACAAGTTTGCAGACACTGACAAGGTCCTCAGTCCTCCGTAGCTTCGCAGTGGCTTTTGTGGTATCTTTATGCTGCCGTCTGACATTTATTGCAGGTGTCATCATTTACATGCTGGCCGTATTAGGACTTTAGCTTTTGCTTTTATGCCCCATCAATTCTATTAAAAAAATGCAAATAAAGTGCAACAATGTGTGTGGGTCAAAGTTTACCACTCCTTGACAAAATGAAAGTTATATGCAAACGGGTGAATCAAATATATGGCCCCAAGTTAAATGCAAACTTAATTGCTATGGTAGCTGATGCTAAATGCAGATTATTAAAATAAAAATATGCAATTAAGAATACTAATGTCAATATTTATTTATTTGGTTTTTTAATATTATAAAATAATTAGCACGAAAAATGAGCCGGTAGTAATTAGTATAATATTAAAAAATTGTTAGATTTGACTCTAATTACTTCCAATACACAGTTGATCATTAAAGGGTATAATGGTTTTATGCAAATGTATGTAACAGGCAGAAAGAAGCATCTCCGTCCCCATAAAGTATATATATTATTGATCAGGGTCAACAGCCGAGTCGATATAGCCATGTCCGTCTGTCCGTGCGTCCGACCATCCATCGGTCTGTATGAGCACGTAGATCTCAGAGACTATGAAAGCTAGAGACTTCAAATTTTGAATATGGGTTCTCGTATACCAGGCGCAGATCAAGTTTGCTTTATTTTATGGATAACTGCCTCCGTTTCTCGATTGTCGACACATTTACATTTCCGATAGCAATAAATGCAACAATTTTAAAGGCAGAATCTTATAATTAACACAAAATATGCATATGCATATTATTGATCAACTGCCCAAATGACATCATACTGATGTCATTTCCTTCAGCAGCCGCAAGCATTTTCTGTATGCATAAATACGCGTGCACATGCGAAAGAAAGAGATGGTATGATAATCGACGCGAGAGCCAATATATTTTTGTGTGTAGTCTGCAGAGCCCTGTTACCCGTTACGATTGCGTGTACGTATATATGTATGTATGTAAGAATATTCACGTGTTTGTCGGCAGAGCGCGCTTGCAGACCTGCTCACATTTTGGTGCAAAACTTTTAAATAGAAATTTTCCAATAAAACTAAAAATATTTAACAACTGGGTTCAGGGTAAATCGTAGTCGAGCTCCCTCGACTACAACACTCGTACTTGTTGTACCAGTTAATTTAGTAAATACCTTATTTAGGGGAAAAAAATACTAAGTACATTTTAACGCTGTTATTGTTAAAAAATATATTAGATATAATTAGATATATATACTTATATATATACCCAAGTACCTACTGAATCAAAGCTAATCGAAACTTCTCAAAATGCGCATCACTCTCATTGTTGTCGGAATATTGATGTTATGGATAACTCTAAAAATGAACTATAATGTAAGTATGCCGTTGACCTACAATGCGGGCTGTATAACTATTTATATTATACTGTTTTGCAGGATGCCGTCGAGTTTAAGATGACGAATGCGGTTTGTACTAGCCTCAATAAATCGTGGGTTGCCATACATGAATGTCGCCTACGGGCTATTAACCGGCATAAAACCACTTTTAATTTTAATGGAACTATTCTTCATCCTGCGAACCATATATCACTTCGATATGAAATGTTTCAGAAGGCTAATGGGTACAAGCCATGGTTATTTAATACGACTATTGATGCATGCCGTTATTTAAAAAAGTCATTCAATCCATTTGTCATTATGGTTTTTAATCTTTATAAGGAATTTACCAACTTTAACCACACATGTCCCTACATGGTAAGTATTATTATATTATTACCTTGCGATTGAATATTACAATACTTCTTTTATTACAAATATTAGGGTCCACAAATCGTTAAGGGATTTTATCTCAGATCAAATCTTTTACCGCTTACCATGCCAACAGGTGATTACTTATTGGCATTATCTTGGTTCTTCGATGCGAAGCTACAATTCCTAACAAATATTTACTTTGTCTTTAAAGAGGATTTGTAATAAACGTATTTACCCCTATAATCATTCAACAGGATAATGGGGAATAAAATCCAGAAATACATCTAGTACCGTCTTGTTTGATTTTTATACTTTGATACCGAAGGTATCAATAGAATATTGGTTTTGTGCGATGTCCGTCATGCTGTCTGTCTGTCTGTCCGTCGGCATGAACGCAACTTTTTTCGATACTCCTTGAGGCAGAGACTTGAAACTTAGAATACATACTGTGCTCTCGTCAGACAAACTGTAAAAATTGGAGTGCTACGTGCACCTAGGGGCTAGGAAATCGATCAAATCGATATTCGGAGATCGATAAAGCCACATATCTCCCACAATTTTAAGGTTACATTCACAAAATTTGGTTTGTAGGTTGTGGGCGATGTCCTTCAGAGATCGGCATATGCCATGCCCACCTCCATCGCTCCCACGCCCCGCGCCCGTACAAATTTAAAATGCCTATATCTTCCGCAGTTTTTGAGTTAGAATTCTAAGGATATGGTAACCAAACTTGGAAGCTAACTGGTTGGTAACCTCCTCCAAAGATCGGCATATACATATACATACATAGACCACGCCCACATCAGTCACCCCCAGAAGATTCGGCCCTAGAAATCAGACATTATGCATATCTTCTACAATTTGTAAGCTAGACTCACCAAATCTTAAATGTATGTTACTGGCAACTCCCCCAAGAGATCATAAGAAATTGGACGGCCACGCCCACTCCACCTCCCACAAAAGTCACAAAATCTGACAAGTATATTGCTAGTTACATCCCTCAAAAATCCGGGAAAAACATTTTCTACCACGCCCACCCCTGCCCCTAAAAACGATAGAAGCATGTCTCTTCCGCAATTTAAGAGCTATAATTACCAAACTTAGAAGGCTACTAAGATACATATATCGGAATTTTAAAGGCAATCTTGGACAGTACTTCTTTAAAGCTTGTTATTATGCTCCATATATCGGAAAAAACCATTACCATTTACTTAACTGCAGAAAAATGACGTAAATCGAACTTTTGTGGATCGTCAATTACCAGAACAGTATTAATTGATATTTGTTATAATTCTGAGTTCAAAAGTTGGCGCTCATTGCCGCGGAATCCTTCGCTGAGCATTATTGTGTGTGTGTTTTTTTTTTTTGATAAACTGCACCCACTTACCCATACATATCCAAATGCATATGAAATCACACAGTTAATCTGACTCTTAAGCTCGCGAATAAAATGTTAAAAGCTTTTGCATAATAGCAGCAACCACTCCTTGACAAAATGAAAGTTATATGCGAACAGGTGAACAAAATATATGGCCCCAAGTTAAATGTAAACTTAAATGCTATGGTAGCTGATGCTAAGTGCAGATTATTAAATAATAAAAAAAAAATAAAATAAAATAATTAGCACAAAAAATGAGCCGGTAGTAATTAGTACAATATTAAAAAATTTTTAGACTTGATTGTAATTACGTACACGAGGCGTCCAGTCGACCTACACAGTTTATCATTTTTCCCTGTTAATTTGGTAGATATCTTATTTAGGAAAAATTACTAAGTCCATTTGAATAGAGATGTTGTTCAAAAATAAATAATAGCTAAGTATGTAAATGTAATTATATACATAATTATATAAATATAATTGTATACATGAACAACTCCATGAAGTAGCTACTGAATCAAAACTAATCGAAACTTCTCAACATGCGCATCACTCTCATTGTTGTCGGAACATTGCAATTATGGATAACTCTAAAAATGAACTATAATGTAAGTATGCCGTTGACCTACAATGCAGGCTGTATAACTATTTATATTATACTGTTTTGCAGGATGCCGTCGAATTTAAGATGACGAATGCGGTTTGTAATAGCCTCAATAAATCGTGGGTTGTCATACATGAATGTCGCCTACGGGCTATTAACCGGCATAAAACCACTTTTAATTTTAATGGATCTATTCTTCATCCTGCGAACCATATATCAGTTCGATTTGAAATGTTTCAGAAGGCTAATGGGTATAAGCCATGGTTGTTTAATACGTCTGCTGATGTATGCCGTTATTTAAAAAAGTCATTCAATCCATTTGTAATTATGGTTGTTAACCTTTTTCTGGAATTTACCAACTTTAACCACACATGTCCATACGTGGTAAGTATTATTATATTATTACCTTGCGATTGAATATTACAATACTTCTTTTATTACAAATATTAGGGTCCACAAATCGTTAAGGGATTTTATCTCAGATCAAATCTTTTCCCGCTTGCGATGCCAACAGGTGATTACTTATTGGCATTAACTTGGTCCTTTGATGCGAAGCCACAATTCCTAACAAATGTATACTTTGTCTTTAAAGAGGATTTGTAATAAACGTAATTACCCCTATAATCATTCAACAGGATAATGGGGAATAAAATCCAGAAATACATCTAGTACCGTCTTGTTTGATTTTTATACTTTGATACCGAAGGTATCAATAGAATATTGGTTTTGTGCGATGTCCGTCATGCTGTCTGTCTGTCTGTCCGTCGGCATGAACGCAACTTTTTTCGATACTCCTTGAGGCAGAGACTTGAAACTTAGAATACATACTGTGCTCTCGTCAGACAAACTGTAAAAATTGGAGTGCTACGTGCACCTAGGGGCTAGGAAATCGATCAAATCGATATTCGGAGATCGATAAAGCCACATATCTCCCACAATTTTAAGGTTACATTCACAAAATTTGGTTTGTAGGTTGTGGGCGATGTCCTTCAGAGATCGGCATATGCCATGCCCACCTCCATCGCTCCCACGCCCCGCGCCCGTACAAATTTAAAATGCCTATATCTTCCGCAGTTTTTGAGTTAGAATTCTAAGGATATGGTAACCAAACTTGGAAGCTAACTGGTTGGTAACCTCCTCCAAAGATCGGCATATACATATACATACATAGACCACGCCCACATCAGTCACCCCCAGAAGATTCGGCCCTAGAAATCAGACATTATGCATATCTTCTACAATTTGTAAGCTAGACTCACCAAATCTTAAATGTATGTTACTGGCAACTCCCCCAAGAGATCATAAGAAATTGGACGGCCACGCCCACTCCACCTCCCACAAAAGTCACAAAATCTGACAAGTATATTGCTAGTTACATCCCTCAAAAATCCGGGAAAAACATTTTCTACCACGCCCACCCCTGCCCCTAAAAACGATAGAAGCATGTCTCTTCCGCAATTTAAGAGCTATAATTACCAAACTTAGAAGGCTACTAAGATACATACGATATATCGGAATTTTAAAGGCAATCTTGGACAGTACTTCTTTAAAGCTTGTTATTATGCGTCAATTACCAGAACAGTATTAATTGATATTTTTTATAATTCTGAGCTCAAAAGTTGGCGCTCATTGACACGGAATCCTTCGCTGAGCATTATTGTGTGTGTGTGTTTTTTTTTTTGATAAACTGCACCCACTTACCCATACATATCCAAATGCATATGAAATCACACAGTTAATCTGACTCTTAAGCTCGCGAATAAAATGTTAAAAGCTTTTGCATAATAGCAGCAACCACTCCTTGACAAAATGAAAGTTATATGCGAACAGGTGAATAATATATATGGCCCCAAGTTAAATGTGAACTTAAATGCTATGGTAGCTGATGCTAAATGCAGATTATTAAAATAAAAATATGCAATTAAGAGCACAAATGTCAATATTTATTTATTTGGTTTTTTAAATATTATAGAATAATTAGAACGAAAATTGAGCCTGTAGTAATTAGTATAATATTAAAAAATTGTTAGACTTGATTGTAATTATGTTCACGAGGCGTCCAGTCAACCTACACATATTTCTTTATCATTTTTCCCTGTTAATTTTGTAGATATCTTATTTAGGAAAAATTACTAAGTCCATTTGAATAGAGTTGTTGTTCAAAAATAAATAATAGCTAATGATATAAATATAATTATATATATATATATATGTGTATAGATATACATTTTAATGGAGATGTTGTTCAAAAATAAATAATAGCTAATTATATATATAATATATAAATATATATAATTATATTTATATAATTAGCTATTATTTATTTTTGAACAACTTCATTAAAATGGACTTTATATACAAGTAGCTACTGAATCAAAACTAATCGAAACTTCTCAACATGCGCATCACTCTCATTGTTGTCGGAACATTGCAGTTATGGATAACTCTAAAAATGAACTATAATGTAAGTATGCAGTTGACCTACAATGCGGGCTGTATAACTATTTATATTATACTGTTTTTCAGGAAGCAGTCGAGTTTAAGATGACGAATGCGGTTTGTACTAGCCTCAATAAATCGTGGGTTGCCATACATGAATGTCGCCTACGGGCTATTAGCCGGCATAAAATCACTTTCAATTTGAATGCAACTTTTCTTTATCCTGCGAACGATATATCAGTTCGATTTGAAGTATTTCAGAAGGCTAATGGATACAAGCCTTGGTTGTTTAATACGTCTGTTGATGCATGCCGTTATGTAAGAAAGCCATTCAATCCATTTGTAATTATGGTTGTTAACCTTTTTAGGGAATTTACCAATTTTAACCACACATGTCCCTATGTGGTAAGTATTATTATATTATTACCTTGCGATTGAATATTACAATACTTCTTTTATTACAAATATTAGGGTCCACAAATCGTTAAGGGATTTTATCTGAGATCAAATATTTTCCCGCTTGCGATACCAACAGGTGATTACTTATTGGCATTAACTTGGTCCTTCTATGCGAAGCCACAATTCCTAACAAATGTATACTTTGTCTTTAAAGAGGATTTGTAATAAACGTATTTACCCCTATAATCATTCAACAGGATAATGGGGAATAAAATCCAGAAATACATCTAGTACCGTCTGGTTTGATTTTTAAACCTTGATACCGAAGGTATCAATAGTATATTGGTTTGCCCACCTTCACCGCTCCCACGCCCCGCGCCCCTCGCCCATACAAACTTTAAATGGCTATATCTTCTGCAGTTTTTGAGTTAGAATTCTAAGGATATTGTAACCAAACTTGGAAGCTAACTGGTTGGTAACCTCCTCCAAAGATCGGCATATACATTTCCAGACTACGCCCACACCAGCCGACCCCAGAAGCTTTTTGACACAGACTGGAAAGTTTCATCAAAATGTATAATGCAAAATTATGACTTACTATTGTTTCTTATTCGCTCGAAGGGGATATTAAAAGCTTGTCGTAAAGCTTGTATTGCGCAGAGATTGATGTTTTCAAACTCACCTCTATTAACTCATGGTGATCATATATCGCCATCGCATATTACGCACGGAGTTACATGATATGTTACAGATGCCATGTTGCAGTCTGTTGCCTCCATTCCTAGTGACCTGGTATTCTATGCGAACTGGACCCTCCACTTTAAAGCTAATTTGATGAAGCTTTGAAAATATCCATCTTTGTGTTTCAGACAGTGCATATATCGGAGCTGTAGCCTGTAGGTTGATCGGACCGGAGATGTCTTCCTGTATAAACAACGTTTTTGTTATTATGTTCCATATATGGGAGAAAACCATTACCAGTGGACTAATATTTCTTTATTTAAATACAAACGTGTCTCAGCAGGTTTATTTGACTGCAGAAAAGAGTCGTAGATCGAACTTTTGTGGATTACCAGAGTCCAGAGTTCTAAGTCCTTTAGATGTTCAAAAAAGTATATAAAGTTTTATTTATATTTCCTTACAAATCCTCTTTAAAGACAAAGTAAATACTGGTTATAAATTGTGGTTTTCTATCGAATGACCAAGTCATTGCCATTAGATAATCACCAGTTGGCATTGAATGCGGCAATAATTTATGTCTTAGATACAATCCATCAACAATTTGTGTGCCCTAATATTTGTAATAGAACAAGTATTATAATATACAATTGTAAGTATTTATATCAAGCTCATAATGTAATACTTGCCATGTAGGGACATGTGTGGTTTAAGTTGGTAAATTCCACAAAAACTTTAAAAACCATAATTGCAAATGGATTGAATGGCTTTCTTAAAAATCGACATAGATCAATTGTCACATTAAACAACCATGGCTTGTACCCATTAGCCTTCTGAAAAACTTCCATTCGAAGTGACATGGTACGAACTGGATGAAGAAAAGTTGCATTAAAATTATAAGTTGTCTTGTGACGGTTAATAGCCCGTAGGCGACATTTGTTTATGACAATCCATGATTTGTTGTAGCTCTCACAGACCGCATTAGTCATCTTGAATACAACTGCTTCCTGTAAATCAGTATAATATAAATAAGCATACAATCCACAGTGTAAACCATCTGCATACATACATTGTAACTCATTTCTAGAGTTACCCAAAACAGCAATATTCCGTCAACAATGAGAGTGATGCGCATGCTGAGAAGTTTCGATTACCTTTGAGTCACTAATTGAAATTGTATTAAATCATCGTATTCACAACTCTTTCCGCTTGAGTATAATAAAAAATCGTTCTGATAAAAACGCTATCGCAAAACAAAAGTTGTCCAACAATTTTAAATTACATACACAATAGGCCATTTATAAATGATAGTTGACCCATGTTTTTGTCGATCGTGAGTTAAGTTTCCATAATCAGTAAATCACCTACCATTTTGAAAATATGCTTAATTTCAAAGTCAACTAAATTGTACTATTATTTGTTAATCAAAATTTTGGATACCTGAAAAAACTGGTGGTAAGGTAAATATAGTAAGAACATTTTCTTTCCTGTAGTGGCGCATATGTTATCTTTTCAAAACGTTCCCTTGAGTGTCAAATAAGACTCTCAACTAGACACCCTACCTGTATTTTGTCCCAAAATTTTAGAGCAGTAATAACAGTTTTAGCTAATAATGTAAAAACAAACATTTTTAAATGCACTGCCTGTAGTCAAAATATGGAAATGCTTAATAGATAGGCATACGACGGGTATTGATATATTGGCGAGTGATGTTGATCAGAATTACGTATTCTTTATTCAAAATGGCATATACATTGTCAGCAAGTCTAAGCCCTGTTCAGAATCCAATTTGCTCAACCAGAAAGAGTTGTTATTAAATCAATGTTACATATCGGTCAGCCAGTGCTCAGTTATGGGTGGATCTACCCATGCTTGTCGACAAAATTTATATTTACCGCGTCGCGCCCGCCAGTTCAGTGGTGCTAAATAATAATTTTAATTTAGCACTCTCTTTTTGGTTTACCGATCGCATATCATCCTAACAACATTTAGTTCCACTCCACTCCATAAAAAAAACTCCACTCCATTAAAAAAAAAAATTTGGTTGGGCATATTAAATATCAAAATGCATATTTAATGACTGGTATATCTTATTGCTAACATTTAATAATGATTATATATAAGTTACCTTCATTTAAACATACCTAAGCTCTCCAATAAACAAAAACCAAATTTACAATATATTTGAAAAGTTTTTAAGCTCTTGCCCCGAATTGGCCTTAGGCCATTCGCATACAAAAAATGCTGAACATTTAATCCAAATATTAATAAAAAAAAAACTTCAAGGAGCTTACCAGCAAGTCATCTTCCAAATTTGGTCACTCTATATGCGATATGCGGATTTATCGATTTACACTTTCTGAAATATCGGCGATTATGGGTGAGCATGCCCCTAAAAATTTGTAATCGGTTTTTCAAGTCGACTACCAGTAATATAAGTACCAAATTTATTGGCTCAACTCAAAAACTGCGGAAGATACAGCCATTTAAAATTTTTAGGGCGGAAGCTTGGGGCGGTGGAGATGGGCGATCTATTGTAGGGTATCGCCAACACCTTACATCTATTGAACGCACGAGCTCACATTCTCTTTCTATTTCGCCGTCCCCCTCTACTCTCTTATATTTGGGCAGTGTCTGCCTAGTCCACTTAATCGGCATCTCCGACTATAGATAAGTCAATTCCCCATCGCAACAGCAAGTAAGAACGACTTCGCATATATACACACAAACATATTTACATTCGCATCGATTATCATGGCATTATCATGGCCCTCTCACACATGCACACGCATATTTATGCATTTAGAAATTGGGTATATAATTTTGACTATAATTTAAGTGATTATTATCCGATCTTAATGAAATTTGTTCAATTGTTCAATAAAATGTACACTTAAAGAAATTTGAAGCCTCTGCATTTAAAATTGTTGATTTTATTGCAATCGGAATATTCCATTTTCGTGGATACGGAGGCAGTTTCGATCAAATCTATATTCCGAATTTGAGGTAATAGGTATAATAGTAGTGTCTGTATTAAAACACAAAGTATATAATAAATTACAATACAGTAAATAATAAATGTATGCTTAGAGATCAAAGGCAATCGAAATTTCTCAACATGCGCACCACTCTCATTGTTGTAGGAATATTGCAATTTTGGGTAACTCTAAATGATTATTTATTGGCAATATCTTGGATCTTCTTCTACTGCTTTGTTTGAATGTTATTATTAACAATACGTGTGCTGCGTAACGTACAATGACACAGACTGGAAAGTTTCATAAGAAATAGAAACATGATGAAGCTTTGAAAATATCCATCTTTTTGTTGCAAACAGCACATCAATTGAAGATGTAGCCGTTGTACGATCGGTATGGAGATGATTCAGGTGCCAATAGGTTTAGAGGGATTATTGTGGACCAAAAAGTATATAAAGATTTATGTCTGTTTACTTATAAACCCTGTTTAAAGACAAAGTAAACACTCCTAGCTAAAAAATGTACTCCCGCAACAAAAACATTGAGTTTTAAATTTATTGACATACGGACATGAATATATTGGCTATATTGGCTAGTGATGCTGATAAAAAATACATCATGTGAAAATGTTTAGTCAAAATGGCATATACGTTGACAAAAAAAAAAAACATTGTTTAAAATGTTATTTATTCTTAATTATTTTTTAATATCCTCATGCAGAAAAAAATGTTAATAACATGGTATTATTAATCACTATTAATCGCAGAATCAGGTCCAAGGTTTTTCTTAAATGCATTCTGAAATATTGCCTTAACTAGGCAATATATGTAACTACAGCGAATTTCATCCCTACTTTGTCATTTAATATAGTCCACAGAATGTGGGAAGCATGTGCCTCTCTCTCTGTCTCTCGTTCTCTCAAAGACTCTGTCTCTGACACATGGTTGCTGGCAACATATGCCAAACAATTTGCAAATTTCCAAACTCGTAGTGCCAGTCACAGTCTGGCAATCAGCCGTCAAAGCAGACGAACAACCATCCAACCATCCATCTCTCCGGGTCTCTCCTAAGCAAACTGACTAAATATTTAATTACAGGTATTTTGCTATAACGCTCGCGGCTAATTTGCTATTTAACTGTTTACCCCCAACATTCTGTGTAGTATTTTGTGTAACTTTAACTCTTCCCCTGAGTCAGAGTTTGCTTTGAGTCCGAAGAATTGGCCAACATGTTAAAATATTCAAACCGTAAATGCAAACAAAGCGCTTTCTTCGATAGTTGTTTTGTTTGTTATGGCTCGCTTACAACTTTATGTCATAATTTTTGTGCCACAAATTAAAGTTCTGAGGCATTGCATAAGACTTAGATAGAAAGGTCAACAGCTTTCCGCTGTTTTTAATATAATCAGTGATATCGAAAGCGAATCAACTTATCAAACTGACAGATACACAATAATCTTATCTCATCATACTTGCCTCAATATTATTTGATTAAACTGAAAGTCTATTACACAAAATTAGTTTAAATTGCATATGTTGGACACAGGTTTAATTCGCACCGTATGATTGTAAGACTAGACAAAAGGAAGACAGTGTATCCATAATAGAGAGATATTTACAAAACTGTAGCATTCTTAAAACTTTAGTACTAACTGTTTTTCAGTAGGATGCTACAAAATTAAATAAATATTTATAAATATGACGACTGCATTTCAGTGAATGATATCTCCTAGTCGGGCAATCTAGCCAAGATCCCTCTCACTTGTTTATTGTGCACGTACTCACTCAACAGAAAAGTTGATAACATTTTCTTACTATACTATCAAATGTAACTCGTTCTTCTAAGTTTCAAATTTTAATCGTACTTAAGTAATAAACATGTATATTAAAACAGTTTACTTTGCATTGCATCAGCCGAATCCAAAAAGAAATAATTTAAATCGAGTTGTACTCAACTGAATTATAATGATAAGAATACAATAGTTTATCGACCTCGCTCTCTGTCTCTCTCTTTCTCACTCTCTCTCTCTCTCTCTCTCTCTTTCCACTTTACTCTCTATCTTTCAGTTTGTTATCGCACCAGTCCAGCTCAACAACCGCTCTCCATAGGTTTATAGATAACTTTTTCACTGTCATATGAGCACTTACAATATACATATTAATCGATTATGGATCTTGTTATTTTTTATGTATCATTATATTCCATAATGATAATCTTCTCTATTATCTAGCAAAATGCTTCAGTCAATCAGAGTATGATTCACGGAAATATACATATTAGTATTTTGATAAAGCTAAAAATGATTCACTGTTGACGCCCAACGTCCAACTGATCTTATCCCTTAAAATACATTTTTTTCAACTCTACATTGACCAAAATAAGTGGTGTATAATCTATCGAAAAATGATTATTTGATAGTGAGCTGTAGTGTTAAGATTCTCCAACGTATTTTTTAAACTTAGCAAGTTACATTTTTAGCATTTACATTTGTAATTCAAATTAAAATTTGGTAATTTAATATTAAAATACCTAATCATGAATTTAAAGAGTATTTGCAAGTCGAGTACTCGCATCCAGGCTGTAATATTATCATGTTTTAACAATGTGGGAGAGCCGGAGAAAAAAGTAAATGCTCACGAAATAACAAACTCTTAACCGGATTATTTGCGATTGAATATTTTGTTGTTTGAATTGCATATATTATATATCTCTTACCGAACGTATTCGGAATGCTTATCATATATGGGTATAGTGGGAACGCCATATAAATACGTGTTCAGTCAGTAGAACAAATTTAGTTTCAAGAAACTATTACAGGCGGCAAGTCTTGTTCTATAAGTAATTTTCAAGGTCAACATTGATTGAATTTCACAATATGGATCTGATTCTGTTGGTGGCCCTTGTGGGACTAATAATATTTGTCTACAAGTGGATAACTTTGAGGCACAATGAGTTTGCAGAGCGCGGTCTTCCCTTTGAGAAGCCCCTCCCGATTTTTGGAAATAACGTATCAGTCATAATGAACAAGGCCTCGTTCCAGAAGCAAATCTCCGAGTTCTATGCGCGGACCCGTCAACAGTGAGTTTTCTAAACTAGTCTAAAAAGGTAGTATCTCACGTGCTATGAATCGACATTCCAGCAAATTGGTGGGCTATTTCAACTTTCGCGCTCCGATGATACAATTGAACGATCCCGAAATTATTAAGAAAATAACCGTTAAGGACTTTGAGTACTTTCCCAACCACCAGTTGTTTGTTACAACCAACGAGCGTCTGATCAATGACATGCTGAGCGTAATGAAGGATCAGCGCTGGAAGCACATGCGGAATACGTTAACACCCGTCTTCACCGCAGCCAAGATGCGCAGTATGTTCGGTCTGATGAATGAAAGTTTCGCCGAGGTCATGGAGCACCTCGACAAGTTGGCGAAGACAGATGTGAAGCCGGGCCAAGGATTTGAACTCGAGCTGAAGGAGGTGTGCAATCGGTTATCAAATGATTTGATTGCAACCACTGCCTTTGGACTTAAAGTTAGCTCCTACAAGTCGCCGAATAACGAGTTCTTCCAGATTGGTCAGTCAGTGGCCTTCTTCCGCGGAAAGGCACTCTACAAGTTTATGCTATCCTCTACATTGCCTTGGCTTTTCAAGGTTCGAAATGCTTCACAGTATTTACAATCCACACGCATTTATGGATGTTATACCCTTTTCAGACGCTGGGATTTCAGATCTTCGACGCGCAAAAGACCGACTTTTTCATACGCCTCGTTGTCGACGCCATGAAGTATCGCGAGGAGAACAATATTGTGCGGCCAGACATGATTCAGCTGCTCATGGAGGCCAAGAAGGAGTCCACAGAGAATTGGACCGACGAGGAGCTTGTTGCCCAGTGCTTTATCTTCTTCTTTGCAGCATTCGAGAATAATGCCAGCCTAATTTGCACTACGGCCTACGAGCTGTTGCTGAATCCTGAAGTACAGGAACGCCTCTACGAGGAAGCCAAGGAGACCCAAGAGTCGCTAAAGGGCGAGCAGCTGACCTACGACACCGTAACCAAAATGAAATATATGGACATGGTTGTCTCCGAATCGCTGAGAAAGTGGACACTCGCCGCATCCACGGATCGAGTGTGCGCCAAGGACTATACATTGTACAACGACGATGGCACCAAGTTATTTGAGTTTAAAGAGGGTGACCGCATAAATATACCAATTGGGGGTCTACACTGGGACGATCGTTACTTCCCCGAGCCACAAAAGTTCAACCCAGAGCGTTTCAGCGATGAGAACAAAAACAAACTGGTACCCTACTCCTATTTGCCCTTCGGCGTAGGACCACGTAGCTGTATAGGTATGTTCTAGCTCCAAAAAGATAACACTCGAATAATATGCATGTCTGTTACTTTTGATTGCAGGAAATCGTTATGCTCTGATGCAGGCCAAGGCTATGTTGTACAATCTAGTGCTGAAATACAGAATCGAGCGATCTCCGAAGACAGTCAAAGATCTGATGAGCGAGTCGCGTGGCTTCCAGCTGACTCCACAGAATGGCTATTGGGTGCATCTGGTGCCCCGCAAATAAATAAGATGTGCAAACAATTGTGTTTTGTATTTACGTTAAAATACACATATGTTTATATTTTATTTTTGATTATGATTCCATATAAACTGACTTTAATTTTAATTATACACTTAACTAAGCTCAAATTAAAGACATCCGCAATACTTAAAACTCATCATATGTATTCGTTCCGGCCATTCGTACTCATATTATAGGATTAAGTATAATTTCAACTTTAGAACTAGCCCTCAATTTTTTGCGTTTACATTATTACAAAACTTTCTCAAATATTCTTGACACATTCAGTTTTATATAACTCTTTCACTTTCACCCTCGGGCGAAAGCTGAAACATTACATAAAACTAAAAAACAAAAGAATCTTGAAAGTTGCCAAAACGCAAAAGAAACCACAAAACTGAATAGAAACCTCTTTGCATATAGACACATATATATGAATTTATGTAAAGAATTGTATATAATTGGAACTATGTAGATTGTGTTTTTGGAGGGGGAAGTTTCCTTCACAACTTAAGTTATTGCACATTTACTATCCGAAGACTTTCGCTCTCCTTTCACGTCTCTATTATTGTATATTAACATTTTATTGTTGTGTTTTACATATACAGAATTCTTTTGTTGTCAGTTGATGCATGTATCAAATTTTTATTGTTTGTTGATTGTATTTTTGTGTTATTCCGATTTGTGGCTGGCAGATTCTTAGCTTTATAACTAACAGACTAATATATGTATATAAAGTACTAATATATAATATATGTATGTAAATGCATTCTTGATATACTTGTTAACTTTGTACAAAGTTTTGATAAGAATAGAGTTTCGTTGTTCTAGACTACATTGTTTGGATACTTGTGAGTTGGAAACTAAAAAATATGAAATTAGAAATATAGAGAAGTCTAATGTACAAAAAAAGTTGTATTTTCCAGCTCACTTTTAAATACGATCGAAGTTGCCAATTTGCCTTAATTATAATTAATAATATTTTGTATTTGTATTTTGAACGATATGTTTATTTACATTACCCTAACCCCAATCTAGACGTTATAGAGACGCTGTGCATTTGAGGACCGCGGTTTGCCTAGGCCAAAGAAATTCCAGACACGCCTCAGGCACCCGGGCTTCTTCTCGGGCAGCAGACTAAGGCTCTGCTCCTCCAGAATGGTGTCCAGTATGTAGTAGCTGCTCAGATTCAGCGGCGGCGGCGGCAACATCGGAGGCGGTCATGATATCGTGCAGTTCTTGCTCTCGTTCATAAGCGCCGGCATGCCAGACTGGGCACCTAAGCAGCTGCCCGGTGCAGCTGCTCCAAGAGGATTGGACGACTCACTGGTTTGCGCCAGCTTCTTTTTGCGCTCGTAGGCGAGTGCATCATTGGGCACATAGGCGACACGAACGCCGCCATAGTGCTTGCGTGCGGGCAGACGGTAAACATAATCGTCCATGTCGCTGGAGGAACTGGAACTGCAGGTGGAACAAATGCTGGCCACATCGCAGTTATCCAGATTGTTCAGCAGATTCAGTGGGCCGCCGCCGCCCGCCTGTGTCTGGGCGTTGTGCAGTCGCAGATTCGTTTGGTTTATCTGCATCTCGGAGGAGCTACGTGACTGATTCCGACGTCGGCGACGACGTCGTGCATTGGAATTGTCCGTGTAACTCTTGGAACGCGACATGGTGTCTTGGACGCTGTGGAAGCGCACCTCTTTCAGCGGCGGACGATTGTCGAGTTGTTCCTGTTTCTCGTCCAGCTGATTGCTGCGCTGCTTGGCGGCAAAGAGCTGCTCATAGCCATCATGGGGCAGATCCATCTCACGAACCGACTCATTATCGAGCTCCAACTCGTTGCCCAACTCCTGGGTACTTTGCGTCATGTCCGAGTTGCTCGGCGAATTGAGATTGATCTTGTCAATGCTCTGATAGCTGTGTGAATCCTCAGCCTTTGACAACAACATGTCAGGCATCGATGTGGTCAGCTGCGTGTCGCCAAAGATTGACTTGTCGCCGGCGCATATGTTGTCCAGACTGATACCCAGTTCGGTCAGATCAATGGGCGGTGGATGGGCGGGGCGTGGCATGCCAGGCACACATCCACCTAGCAGCAGATCGGCTACTCCCGCTGCTTCCATGCGCTTGCGCTCCTGACGCTCCAGCAAATCGCCAGCGCTGCCCGCACTGGCTGCACTCTTGCTTGTGACATGCCCATGGCTCTTGCCGCCCCCGACACGTCCCGTCGCCCCTGAGGAGTCAGCTGTGCGCCGTGGAGAGCGCGCTATCTGACTGGAAGTGGATGCGCGATGCGTCGGACGCAGCTGCGGCCCAGAGCTCGTGTCCGACGGCGTCGGCGGTTCGCCCTTGCTGCACGCTATCGAGCAGTAGATGGTGCCACGGCGTGGCAGGAAGGGACGGCCCAGCAGCGAGCAGCGGCAGGTGCAGCAGGAGAAGCACTGATCCGTCGCATGCCAGTGCTGACCGTCATGGCTCATCTGGCCCTGATCGACGCCAATGACCTCGCCGCAGTAGTCACAATACTCGGCGAACATGGTGTCAAAGCAGCCCAGACAGTACGGTTTCCCCTCCCGCATTATATAACGCTGGCCGCCCAGCTGATGTTCGCACTCCTGGCAGGCAAAATGCTTCATGTGCCAGGTGCGACCTTCGGCCTCCGTGCACTCATCCGAAAAGATTATCTAAGTGTGAGAAATTATATGATTTAAGCTTGTAAATAAATGTTCATTAGAAATTAAGCATCTAAATACTCCGTAAAGTAAAGTTGTATGTCTTATCAGTTCTCGTTACAATAATCTAAGTAAATAAACAAATATGGTTCTCGTAATGCATTTACACATCTAAGATTAAACTGATTCTAAGAAAGTTGCGTTATACAAACGGTATATGAATACAAGATAAAAAACGTGTGTTTACGGAAATCAAGGAAAATATCTGTTTATCAACAGTTTAACCAATTATTAATAATATTTATTATCGTCACAATACTTCATTTGAAATGGAACTACGTCTATTAATTAGATTTTATGCAATTGCAATTATTATACAAATGTTTAACTCACCTCATCGCAAGCGGAGCAGCGCGGCTTTTGTGTCTCGGCGTGATGGCGACCACAGTAGAGATTGCCATCGCGCTGAAAGTATATCAAGTCCATGAGGAGCTCCTTGCAAACACTGCAGACAAAGCAGCCGGGATGCCAGCACAACTGGGCGCCCAGGCGTTGGGCGAAGACCACAATGTCACCGCCGGAGAGTGGCTCCTCGCACTGCCCAAAAAGAAAGAAGAAAAAAATTCAAATTAGAACTAGAAGGGGAAAGGGAGTACAAGGTAAACCGTATAAATAACAGAAATATGCTAAAGTTGTGCAGAGACGGGGACGATAGAAATCTGCAGCGTCTGCTTTGGCTTGGCAAAATATTTAAGCGACTATAAATGCTAAATAACGGTAATAAAACGCTTAAGCCCCCGAAGCGAGGACAAGGCAGAAACCAGAACGAGAACAGTGTACAATCCCAGCCCCAACCACCCACAGCCACCCCCAGCCACTGCATGCGGTTTTGCTTTTTCACAACGGAAATAATGCAAAAATAGCTGCCGGCCATGTGCGCGGAGTCGGAGTCCCAAGTGCTCCCCAGAGAGCGAAGGAGAGAAAACCAGAGACTTTAAACTGTTGGAAATAGCACGAAACACGAGAAAAGGCCGCAAGGAGAATGCTGGTGTCGATGTCGGTGCCGGAGTTGTTATTACTGTTGCTGTTGCTGTTGCTGCTCCTGTTCCGGCTGCTGCTGCTGCTGCTGCTGATGTCACGAAGCTCAAACGGAAGCGCAGTTTTTAATGACTAAACCTCAACTCGTTAAAGTTGAAGGCATTCGCATAATGAACTCATTTAGTTACAGCGTGAATCCTAATGAGGTCAGCAAAGCTGATGTCTTTGTACTCCTCAAACAGTATGTTATGAATGTGTTAGGAATATACGGCGATATCCAGTTCTCCTCGAGCAATTTGTAAACAGACTTTTGTTTTGCTAAAAAGTACAATAGAAATAAAATGTGATGCAAACAGAAGGGACACTCTATTAATGAAAGGCTGGGCTAACGATATGTAGGAAACAACTCTTATATAGAAGAACTACATTTATAGAGCTACTCCAAACAATCGTAAAATTGTTGTATATGCTTTTCTGTACAAGTTTTATGCAATAGATAATGGTTTCCATTTAGAGAAACGAATCTTACTGTTGATATGACTTAATTAGTTTGCCATTTTTTTATTTCTTCTCAAATTATTGCTATATTTAAGTTTATGCAAAGAATCTATTTAATTATGTCAGTCAGCTAAATAAACACATTTTGTTGAATATCTAGTTTCAATGCATATAGACAGCTTTTATAGTGGATAATGGATGAGGAGCTCGATTAGTTAGCATGTTTAGAAGTTTTACCTCGCGTAGAGGGAAATCAAGTTCCTTCCTGATTTTATTTTGGGAAAGGAAGTCAGTACTTGGCTCCATTTTATGAGCATGCAAAGCAATTAACGCAATTGCCCTGATTTATGAATGCTTTTTGGCTCCAAAAGTTGTACACATGCGACGCCAAACGCTGCCATTTGTGGCTAGCCCTTAGTTTTTCGCCCCAAAGCCCAACTCCAGCAGTTAAGCAAGTAGCTCTTACCCCTGACAAAGCCTACGCCAATTTGCGCCATTTTCGTTTCAACTTTTATTTCCTGTTGCCTCCCCTTTCTCATCGCAGTCTTCATTTCGCGCACGCAAATTACCCAGAAGCGCCGCAAAAGCCACAAGACGCTGCAAGGACAATGAAAGTGGGGAAAGAAACTTGGTTGGTTGGTTGCCTGCTTGCAGCTTCTTAACTTTCCAGGCTATTAAACCTCAGTCGGTTGCCGGTTGCTTCGATGTCCCCCGCAATCAACATTTACTTTTGCAAGTCATTTAACATTGACAGCCAGAGCTGCCAGTCTACACTGTACAGGGTTGATAATTTCCATAGTAAGTTGCGTAAGTAGCTCCTAACTTGGCCCTCTGCATGCGTCGTTAATTGTTATCAACTACACAAAAAAAAAAAGAAGATAAATTTGGCAGCAGCAACTGCGCACTTTAATTAGGCTCAGTGTCTGTACCAAGCGCTAATGATGTATTTTTGGAGTTGCGATTAAGGCTTCCTTTTGTCTTATTTCTGCCCAGCACTTTGCTGTGGCTTCCGTCCCAACTAAGCAACTTCTGCAGGAAAAGCTCTTAAAGTAGTTTCTGTGGTGGCCTAATTGCAAGTGCAAAACTTTGCCCAACAGCTCAACCCATAGCAGCTGAAGCCGCAAGGGAAAACTTGGGCCCCAAGGACTGGTTGTATTGTCCACTTGGAATGACATTTCTCAGCCTTTGCCAATTGTCATGTGTATATAGAACAACAATCGCTGCTCATTTATCTTATCAATGCAATTAATCCCAGTCGCATTCAGTTGATGACCTCGTCCTTTAGCTGTGAACCCTGACCCTTCGCCTGGAAGTGCACTGCAGACAATTATGCTATTGACAAATTGACGCTGGCTGCTTTCGGCGCAACGCGAAATCGCCACCTGACTCGTCGTCGGTAAATCGTCGTTACTCCTTACTCCTTGCTGCTAGCTGCTAACCCATTTCGCGTCTGTCCTAATCCAACTTTGACGCTGCGCCAGACAAACTTTCCTGCAGACAAGCAAGACAATTTCCTGCCCAGTCGCCGCTCCCCAACCCTTCTCCACATATATATACATATATATATATATCTATGTATAGATATATATATCTGCCTCCCTCTTTCCTTAGCTCATTGCACAGTGCCTTCAAATTATTAATGACGCTCGTTATCGTGCCCTTTTCAGTACATAAAGTTTTCGCTTAACAGGCAGCAGGCAGCCGGCAACTGGATTTTCTGCTACCTTTTTTGGCTGTTTTGGTACGCTAACTTTTTGTTGCCTTTCCCTACCCTCCCACACCTGTGCTGCATCAGTTTTTTGTGAAAAGTATATTTCATGGCTTTTCTTAATAATTATTTTGTATTTCATCGTTGCCAGGACGACCTTTAGTGTCACATCCTTGTCAAGTTCTGCTGTCACATCCGCTCTGACACAGCCCTCAATTCAGTTTTGACTCCATTGTTGTTCGTGTGGAAAATCGGAGCTGGCCAAATCATTACCAGTTCTGTTGCCAGCTCTGCGTCAGTCTCCGTCACTGACTTTGACGCACGTTTCTGGCCATGCTTTGCGACTCATTTACGCTTGAGTGAATTTGAGTGCTTTTTGGCAGCAGCAGAGGAGGCATCATTCAGGCTCATTGAGCGTTTTCATAAATTTCCTTTAAGTATCATTTCTGCTGGGTTGCCCTCGCTTCACCCACCCTCCCCTCTCTCTCTCTCTCTCATACTCTCTCTCTCTCTCGATCTTAATTCGAGGGGGGTGCGGCATTTGCTTTGTTCGCATTTTAACCTTCGTTTAGCAGGTCGCAGTTATGGTTTGTGAATTTTAAGTAGCAGTCGGCAGAGATGAGTGAGCGCTGCTCTGGCTCGTCAGTTTTGCTCTCGAGCCATGGCATCAAATCTGAATTAACTTATCAGATTTAATTATTCACGCACTCATCTGCAGTTGAACTTAACAATCTTCATCTTTTCTATATTTTATTTTAATTTGCATATCCCAATCCATATGTATATTGTATTTGAAGTATTTAAATAAGGAACAGAAAATATTATTTATTTGCATAGTTGATCAATTAAATTGATATATAAATTTACCTTTTCTCGCCATTTGTTGAGATGGACCAGTAGTTAAATTACATTTCTTCCAACAGTCCAACTGTTGCAAAAACTAATATCGACTTGGTTACTTTCTAACTAACTTTGCAAAAAGTGATAAAGGGCTTTATAAATGGCATCATAAATAAATGAAGTTTCTAATTGAGAGAGCCCTTGAGTCATTGATCAAACATGTGGAAGCAAATACGCAACTGCACTTTGACATTAAACATGAACGGACAATCTTATTGAAAGCTTACACACTGTTTGCGTCGTCTGCCTTCAATGAACTCTAACCTAAACTGGTTTGGGATTGGTCTTGGCCTGGTCAGAGAGCTGCAAGTTGTGGCTTATAAGTTGTTGTGGCAAGGCGTAATAAATGGAATTTGGCTGCCAATTTGGTCTTGTCCACAGAAACCAAAACCAACGAAAATCACTGAAAACTTGGACACAACTTTAATGCAGGCAACACCTCGGTCGTGCCACAAACGCCCACGCACGTAGCAGACAGAGGGTGGCAAGATGCTGATGGGGTGTGAAGGATCGGAGCCACTGCAGCGGACAAATGGATGCTGCAAGTCCGTATAGTCGCCTTTTGTGGCCCAGACAGACACGCAGAGCCGCGTGGCAGCATGCGGCATAAACTTTTTAATAAGTTTTACGAGTGGCGAATGTGAACACAATAAAATCAAGCTCCCAACTATTTGTGGCAGCCAGCGTGCCAGACGATGAGCAGCCATGGATCTGGATATGAATGCGGCTGCAGACTGGCCAACTACTGAGCGCAGTTCAAATTGAAGCTGAAGTCAATGCTGAAGTTGAAGTTGGTTAGCCAGCACGCACCGACAATCTTTCTCTCTCTCTCTCTCTCTCTGAATTTCTCTATCTCTCCATCTCTCGCCCAGAGACTGCCAGCTAATAACAATGCAAATTTTTCGAGGGGGACTCCCACTGATAGAGCAGCTCTCCCCACTACTGCTGCTACTACTACTATTTTATGCCACTAGCATTGTGCTTTAGTGCCATTTCACTGCGTTGCACAGCTTTACAGTGTGCACATTCACTTTTTGCCTCCACAGCACAGACAAAAAGGAAGCAGGCAGGTGTGGTGGCGAGTGCTCAACTAGCAGATGCCCTGTTAAAAGGCAAATAATAATAACAATAATATCTGAAATATTATTGGACAAAATACAACAATTGTATTTGGCAGCTAATAAATGACAATAATTAGGTAATAATAATATGAGCGAATAGCTAAAAATAATCTTTTAATGCAGCTCATGCATCTCTTGTTATATCCGACTGTTATTGTGCGTTTTATTGATTACAGGGTATTCAAATAAAGTCGCAGCAGTCGTAGTCTGCAGTAGAGTCCAGAGTGGGGAGTAGCTGACTTTTGTATGGCAGTTGCTGCAATTGTTTTTGCAACAACGTTTCATTTGCAGTTTTTCGCCATGTTGCAGCACTTTGGCGTTTGCTAAAAGTGTACTTAATGAAATCTTTTTGTCATCTTTTATTTGAGATGCTGCCAAGTTGCGATGCAACGTTTGAAAGTTAACCGTTAGCCCCGCTCGCAGCCGCCCCAACCCCTGCAATCCGCTCACTCGCTTGCTCGCTTATTGTTTCTGGCAGGCGCCATTGGCAATTTTTTTTTGTTTTGCATTGTGCAAGTACCACCTATGCACCCATCCAAGCACCCATAATTTATAAGCAGCAGGAGTCAGGGCAAGTCCTGTCAAAGTTTGTGCAAAACTTTGCCCTGCCAGGCGAAAAATGAAATCGAGACTCGCCGCTTCCTTCGCAGCGCTCCTTTGTTCATCATAATAAAATGCAAATTTCTTGGCTCACAATTAAGTTGAAGGGCAAAAGCGGGAGTTTACTACTTACCCCCTTGCAGGGCCTTTCATCGGACAGCAACCGCACCGCGCCACGTCCAAGCGCCTCTCTCTTGCGCTGCGCCGAAAATATCCTCAGCTCCTTGCGCTCCTCGTCACTTAGCGAGTGGCAATAGCGTACCTGCAACAAGCAACGGGAAATGGTTAGTGGTAACTGGTAGTTGGCAGGGAAGTAGCAAGTTTCTTGTATTGTAAATATTAATTAAAATCTCTGTTACTGCAGCAGCACAAAAAGGCAACGCCAACTTTTTTAATCTCGTCCAGCCTGTTTGCAGGCGGGCGTTCCTTGATTTTTATACAAATTTATTTGGCTTTTTTTGTCCTTTGTATACCCTCGCAGGAAATATAAGAGAACATGCTATGTATATATTACCAACTCTCTCAGTTTCGATAAATTAACTTGACGCAGTTAATAGTTAATATTTTATTTGTCATAAATACTATCACTCTAAAAAACACTTAAAGTGTATTTCTGAATATATTCTGAACAAACATATTCGAGAAATTGGTTAATGTTGAATAAATTGATCATAAACATTGCTGCCAAGCAATTGATTTGTTTTGAAAGTTTCATTGTGCTCTTAACTAGTAAAATATCATAAAAGTTGTAGTAGGTCTCATTTATCAAGATGTTAGTTAAGATCAGTTTACTGTATATCATATAATCGGACAAGTTTTGTATGCATGCTTGCCCAGGGTATTTAAATCTTCACCAATTAAAGCTTGTTTTCATTTAATGGTATTCTGCTTGCGTTTCAATTTTGTTCCCAAAAGTTGGCAACTCTGCTTTGCCATTAACTGCATTTTTATGATGTTTGAGTTTTTTTTTCTGTCGCTATCGCCATTGAGTACTCCCTTATGCTACTACGTTGATGTTCTGTTCTGTTCTGTTATCTTCAGTTCAGTTGTTTGGGTCCTTTGGTCTTTTGGCTAATACTCACTTCGTTATCTTGAGGCGGCAGCTGGTGCAGCAATTGTTTCACGCGATACTTCTCGCCGGGACTGTTGACGTAGGGCACTTTGTCGTCCGGTAGTTGGCTAAAGTACAAGCGAACCTGTTAACGTGCAGATATAGAGTAAAAGAGAGAGAGAGAACATCAGATATAAAAACTTTAGTACTGCAGTTATGTATTAGCCATTAACTGCGACGAGTTAACGATTGGACAACTGTCTGCATTTTATGGCAATTTCAGAGCCGCGACAAATTCGTGGGAAACGTTTCATTAGGGACAAGTCATAACGAATTAATCAAAGCTAAGTGACAAACGCTTTCACTAACTTTACAGAAAAAAAATTCAAAATGAACGCCCACAGCTGTTTTGTCCACACAAATATCGACGAAACAAGAAAAGCAAATGCCACGACCAAAAAAATTGATGTTAAAACGTGCGAAAGAGGAAAATGTCGCGAAAAAGTCATGACAGGCAAACAGAATGCAATTGCACAGAAATGGAAAAACAGATAGACTAAAAACAGACAGCGATTTCTTGGTTTTTTGTTGTGTTTTTTTTTTTTTTGTTGTTTAAACATTTTCCCAGCGCGCCTAGGTGGAAGTTATGTAAGCGCTTGAGCCACGTTTGGCCCCGACTCTTGACCAGGTCTAATTGCAGCCAAATGCGGGCAGTCGATTTAATTACAAAACGCTTTCGCTTTCGTTTCAATCGATTGCCGTTCGATTTGGCGATAATTTTCCACAAGCCACAAAAAAGAAAAGACGCTTAGCTACAATTGATGTTGTCGCTGCATTTCCTTAAACGTGGCAGGCATTGAACTGGGCTGGGTTTCGACTCAGTTTTTGGGCAGTGGCAATGAATCACGAGACAAACGAAAGCAAAAGTTATGTTAGCTGCAGGTGGTCACAGCCACCGAAATATCAAAATGACAGCATCTAAATTGCTGGCCGTTGGCTACTTTTTGATTTCACTCAAATTAGTTGCGACAAATTGCAGCATGTGTTGCGGTTGCTTTCGGTTTGTTGTTCGCGGCAACGCCCCCTTACCTGATCTGGCCGCAGACCCGGTGGCACCCAAGTGTATTCCTCGAGTGCACAGCCACTGTCATCGTCCGACTGCGAGTTGCGCTGAAAATCCAGCTGCTGATGGTGGCTATGATGATAGACGCTGCTGGCCGATGCCGCCGTCTTGTAGCTGGCGGTGCGCAGCGGCGTCGCCACCACCGAGTTCAGTGGCAGATGATTGGGCGGCTGGCAGTGGCGTCTCTGCAACGGCGACACAAAATGCGACGGTGTCCCGCTGCTGCTAGCGGTTGATGGTGCATCCACATTATTGCACGTAACCGTCGATGCTGTGTGACTGCTGCTCGCCGGCTGCTGCGAGGCAGCTGGAATAGTTTTGGCGGTGGCTAAAGTTTGATCGCTGCGATGCGACGGAAAGGGCGCAGCACCGCCAGCCTCCAGCTGCAACAGTTCGCTCTCCGTCTGAGTGTAATAGCTGCTGCCGGGCTGCTGCATCTTGCGGTGTCGTCTGCTGCCTGATGTGGTGGTGCTGCTGCTGCTGTTGGTGCGCGGTGCAGGTGTGGGCTTATATTTGTGGTTTGGCTGAATGCTGTAAGCATAAGGAATGATGAAAAATCGATCAGATTATTGAATATATATATATATATATATCTTGAAATTCAGCTAAATTATTGAGTAAAACTCATAATTATTTTACAATATATCTAAATCTATTTTCGCTCATTTTCCACACATTTAAAATATAGCTCGAAGCGATTTGCTTAAAATAAAATATAAGTTAAGTAATATTATATAATTAATAATAATAATTTAACTCAATATTTAAAATTTGAATTAGCTCTTGGCTTTCCAACCCATCTCAGATGTATTTCACTAACTAGACTTGCTAACAAATCATGTTGCAACTTAATTTGTAAGACATGCAACTACAAACCAGTCATAAGCAATGTTGATCTATTGGCTGAACGAGGCACACATAAATATTCATATTCATATGATGAATGGTAAATGCTGAAAACCCCATTTGCAATTAACCAGCTGAGATGCAACGAAACTCATTTAAATTTAACGCGCCGGACATTTGTAATCGGTTCTGACTGCAATTGTGGCCAATTCGCAGCTGTTGGTGCTTGCTGCAGTTGATGCAGTTGCTGCAGCAACTGGCGCATGCGTGTTGCTGTCCAATTTATGAAATTTCGAAATTGCCAGCGCATGTCCAGCCATCAGCATGTGGCCATCACCATAGCCAGAGTCATAAACTTTGCGCCGACTGACCGTTGCAGGCACTGCGGAATCTGACGCTTCTTTCTGCGCCGCTTTCTGTGTACTTTCACTCGACACACTGTGGCACACACGACGATTATGCAGTCAAGCAACATCAGCAGCAGCAACAGCAGCAACAGCAGCACCAGCAACTATTTGGTATTGCTTTAGAAATTCCAGCAGCAACTTTAAGCCGCTGTTCATGTGGCACCCAGTCTGGTCGCGTTTCAGTTTTAATTTGCTTTTAAATACCCCGTGAATATAAAATGATTGCGAATGGACTGTATATGTGTATCAACTGCACAGATCATGTAGAGACACTCTGTCTGCTTTTTAGAGCACTCAACGGCTGTGAAATAATCTTTAAGAAAAACATAATAAGATTTTATGTAGATATATTTTGAGTTTAGTTACAAAAGATCTCAACTTTGTGTAATCTAGATTTGAGCTACAGGGCATCTTTTAGTCAATCACACTCAACTAACATATTCTTACATGGTTTCTCTGGTAATTTAAACTTGGCCGCTGGCTACAATTTTGTTTTGCTTTGTTTTGTTTATTTTTAATTTGGTGTAATTAAAGTCATTTGTGTGACTTAACACCAAGTGCCATATGCGTAGAGCTCTCGGAAATTAAAGACCCGCTGCAATTGCGTGTTATGCAGCGGAGGTTTTACGTTTAACATATTTTCATTCAGACTGTTTAACATTTTGATTTGTATCAAATTGCACAACATTTGGAGCATGAATAATAACCAACCAACCAGCTGTTGAATGGCCAACCCAAGAGTTGGGGCCCAATCAACGTGAGAAGTCAACGTGGGGAGCTCGGACAGTCGAAAGCAATTTGCCATCACGCCAAGCGATTTATCTGAATAGCTTGTAAATTTATGCTAATGCATGATAACAATAAAGATTATAACTTGACCAAGTCAAGCACTAACCTTCTGCTAAACAAAGGCATAGATTTGATAAGCTGTTTAACAGTAGCTCTCAAACCTAGGCGAAAACCTCGCCAAAAACCCTTTCGCCTGGCCAAATTAATGGCTCCCTCTCGCAACTGGGAGGCATGCAAAAGAGAATGTCTCGCAAATGTGGCAGCCGTACGTTGTAAGTAACTAACTGATGGGCAATGGCATTAGCATTAATTCCATGTTGTGGCTCAGGCGCCAGATCGACAGCGATAATATTAGGCAGTTCGTTAAAATAAAAAGAAAATACGTTACGGCCTGACGCAAGTGAAAGTTTTATGTGCTACGTTTATTTTGTGTTTGGTGATTTTCCAATGCAAATTCATTTGCTTTGTCGGACAGTGCCAAAAACAAACTTGTCCACATCTGCGTGCGATCAATCAAAGGTTGCTTTCTAAACCAATTGACGATAGCCGATTGCCGAATGTTGTCCGATCCATTCATTGCGATTGTCAACTGCTGCCCAAACAAAGTCAAGGCATAATCTGTCACAAATGAATTGTGCGCCTGTTGATTGACTTCGATAGCCAACACCAGCGTCAACCCAATTCAAATCCAACAAATACAAAAATAAAATAAAAATACACCAATTGCCAAATACGGCCAAGACTGTTGACATACTCGCTGCCGTCTGGCTAAGACACAAATACTCTCAGCTCTTGGCCAGGCTGGGGCGGTTTTCTCTTTTCGTGCAAAAAGCCATAAGCAAGAAATCAGAAGGCTCCAGGTGAGAGTACATGACTAGAAGACTCCCTGTTGGTTGGAAAATGTAGTTGAAATGTAGTTAAACACTATTGCGAACCAAAAACCTTTCTAATATTTAATAGAAAACAGTCATTCGATAATAATAATAATTTTTTATAAATATATATATATTAAATAGTAATAATTTAGTTGGCTATAGCCTTGCATACTTATACCATTTCATAGTTTTTATTTAGTATTTGACAGCTACAGGGTATACAAAACCAGTTGTTTCTTTGATGATTTTCTAAGCGACATGCAATTTTATTTGCCAAACGAGAACTGCCTGCGCTAAAAATGCCTGAAAATGCTGCACGGAATTGACGTGCATCTGACCAACTATGGTGCGATCTCTGACACATGCATAAATTTGGGTTAAGAAGATTTTGAGTATTAACTTGGGTTTGAGCTCAAGTTTATTTGGCTTGATGTTTGTCATTTCCTTGATGTGTGTGCGTCACAACTGCCCAGACGAGTGGATGGATGAGGATAATTAAAAATAAAGTGATTAGCACTTTTTGAGAAACTTATATATAATTGAATGCATATAATTGTCAGTCTAGATGTGCAAAAATCAGAATTATAATTTTAACGATGTTATGCGAAATGATCCGTAACTTAAAAATATATTGTCAAAATTGTTCATCATACAACTCAACTTCTATATATATTTATTTGCTCAACTGTAATATGTTCAATAAAATTCTATCATAAAATAGAGTTTAATTATGTATTTTTTTTTAACACCTTTACTACTTTCCAAAGAGTATGGCAATTTTAAAGTAAAAGTCTGCAATCCCATAAACTATACATATTTTAATCAGCAGCATTAGCAGAATCGATATTGTCATCTTCGTCTGTTTCAAGCCAAATTAGTCTCTCAATTTAAAAGCGAATATTTAAAAGTTAATGTGCTTAGATGGCTGCTCTTGTTGTTATCCGAAATATCTAATAACCCACATTATCCACGGTTGCTGCACAACATGAACATATTTAAACTGAAATTGGCTTATCGGTACAAATTAAAGTCATTTGTGTCTTGGGCAATGCAATAAGCAGCTCATTAGGCAACATTTCAGCAATTGCGGCACGTTCAATTCCAAATAGTATTGCCGTGCCGCACAACCAATAATATCTCAATTATTAGCCGCACCACCAATGCCGATTGGCAGCAGGGCACTCAGGAGTGCAATGTTGGGTAACGAATGCATTTCAGCGATGCTTTCTTTCCCACTGTATACACATATACATACATATAGGCAATATTGTAGCGATTTCATTAAATTTTAGACACGCAGTTTCCAGAGAACTGGTTCAAAATCATTTAGACACACTCACACAGATAGCTATGTATACGTGTTTGTGCTGCGGCCTGCAACCAGTTTCCCAGAAATAAGAAGTGCACTACGACACGCAGACATTTGTCCGGGAGAAGGGGAGATGGAACTACGTGGAAATTAAAACGAAACATGCAATTCTTGGTAATTGAAAATGTAGAAGAACAAGCAGCAGCAACAGTAACAGTAACAGCTAGATCAGCCAGAACACCATCTGAAGCAGCGAATCAAACCGAATCCGCATTAAATTACTTTCACAATTGGTCAAAAGATAAACGTCAGCTCCCAATTCAGTTTGGAGCCTACAACTTGGCCGAATTGCTTGAATTATCTGCTCCGCATAGCACACGATCTCAAGTCTCCGATTGCAGTTGCCATTTAGGCAGATCGCACTGGAGCCCGCCTCATCCACGAACTTTGTGTGTGGGGGCTGCTCCAGAATCGAACGCTCTTAAATTAAATTGTTGCCCGTTGGGCGTGTCACACTGAAGGCCCGCTCAACCTCTGTTTTAATACAGTCTGTGGACTCGACTCTCGACTCTCAACTCTCTGCCTAAATGCCTTTTCCCAGTCCATTACGAAATCTCGTGCAGCAGCTTTCGAGCCACAAGCTCAGTTTTATTGCACCTTCTGCAGCTGTTTGCCCTGACCTTGCTGTTGTTGCGTGTTTGAAGCGTTTCATTGTCTTGGCCCAAAAGGGGCGGCAGCTCCAAAAAAAAAAACAAAAAATAATATTCGAAATCATGTAATAGTGCTATTGTTGAGCGTGCTCGACGAGAAAATACTGTAGACTGTGGCCATTTCAAACATATATTCTGAGTTAATTACAGAAACATCATAACAGATGAAAGAGCAATACCGTCTATAATAGAGAACAAAATTGGCATTCATTTAAACTGATCATGCAGCCCATGGTTGAGTGAATGGTGAGTCTAAAATGAAATGTTAAATATTCTAAAGTAAGCTATACAATCTAATACATGAGTTTGGTTTCAACGTGGGCCTGTAGAAGAATCTGTCTAAGGTCTGAGATGTATCGCCCCACACAACATCAAGGTACCCAATTTTAGCCAATTTCTATGTGGGCATATTGCATTAAAAAGCAACGGAAATAGCGAGCGTATAATATTTATAATTGTGTTTTATAAAGTTCGGGCCAACTGCTGCATTTGACTGCGTTTACGTCATCCAAACAAAGGCCACAAGCGGCACAGTCACGTTAGCCATGTCATTCAACAACACGTGTTGATGTCGCTCAAACTTTATGCATTTTTT